CAGAGGGCGAAGCAGACTCCCTGCTGAGCAGGGAGCCCGATGCGGGACTCGATCCCGGGATTCCAGGATCATGACCTGAGCCGAAGGCAGTCGCTTAACCAACTGAGCCACCCAGGCGCCCTATAATTAAAAGAATTTTAAGGGGCTGTTGGGTGGCTCAGTTGGTTAAATGTCTGCTGTTGGCTCAGGTCATGATCCTGGGGTTCTGGGATGGAGCCCCACATCCGGCTCCCTGCTTAGCGGGGAGTCTGCTTCTCCCTCTCCTTCTGCCGCCCCCCTCCCCCGCATTCATGTTCTGCACACACACGCTCTGTCTCGTGTTCTCTCTCTCAAATAAATAAATATAATCTTAAAAAAATAAATAAAAGATTTTAAAAACAACATATTTGGAGTACATCTTGAAGGTTCCACAGAGGAAATTGAGAGTTGTGACTTTAGCTTTTCTAAACTGTAGCATCAGTCTTTCGATCCTTGCAGAAATTTTGAAAACATGGGACTGCCTAAGAACAATTTAGGCAGTAATGTATTAAGTATTTGATAAAAGGTAGTTTGGTAGGATAGGTTAATTTTAGTATTAAAATCTCTCCCCACACAGTTTCTGATTATACCTGCAAATATGTTGTTAACAAGTTTTGCTTTGTTTCTATTTTGTTAAATTCAGAATCTCTACAATCAGTTCAAATCTGCACCATCTGACAGTTTAACATACAAATTGGCTTTGTGTCTTTGTATGATCAATTTCTATCATGGAGGATTAAAAGGAGTGGCACATCTCTGGCAGGAATTTGTTCTTGAAATGCGTTTCAGATGGGAAAACAACTTTCTGATTCCAGGGTAAGAATTTGAATTTTCGTTTGTTAGCCTAATTAGTCTTTTGGCCCATTAATTCTCCTCTTCTAGGAAATCCGCCCTAAGAAAGTGGTAAGAAACTGGACATGATTTATACTCAGAGGTGTTCATTGTAGCAAATTTATCATACGGGAAAGAAGGTGAAGCAACCTCAGTACCAAACATAAAAGAATGGTGTAAATCATGATATATGTCTACAGTGGAAAGTTATGGATCTATTACAAGTTTTATTTTTTTTCAAGAATCTCTAATAACATAGAAAATGATCGTAGTATTTGTAGTAAAGTAGAATACAGTGTTTTGTATACTAAGTGCTTTCAGTTTTGCTGATCTATATTTATAGAAATATAATTGGGAAGAAATAAAGCCAAATGTTAACAGTAGTTTTTCCCAGGTGTGAAATAATATTTTTATTTCGTCCTTTATACATTTGTGTATTTTCTAAGCCTTCTGGAGTGAATATAAATTTTTATAGTTGAAGAGAAAACATTCTTAGAGTTCATAAGTTCAGGTACTCACTATTACCTGTAATTTGTTTGTGGAATTTATGTTGACATTTCACTTAATAAAGTGGAAGAGTTTAGTTACCATATATTTCAATATCGCGTACGTTACTGCTCATCTACATATACTAAGGCAGAATTGTGATATGAATAGTATAAATTGGTGATTGAGCCAAAAATATTTACTTCTATTTCATTTGCCAGGCTCTGCTTAGCTGGATTATCTCTTGGCTGATTCTTGGGAACTTAGTGGTTTAGAACTAGAGGCAGTTTAGGCTCCTCTTGGCAAAAGAGAGGTGGAAATCAATATTTTTTTTATATTGAGAATCCACTATAATAATTGAGAACTGAATATGTAACTAATCTGTTTTGTATGGTGTGAAATACTGTATGGTAGCTACTCCCTGGGATAGATTTAGAGACATTTTTTCATTTTAAGTTTCTATTAACTTTGAGAACTATTAGTAGTTTGCTACTATGCTTTGAAAAATATATTTGCTGTTGGTGGACTAGGAGGATAAAATAAATTGTGATTTTTTTTTTTTAGTCTTTATTGCTCCATCTCAGTTATCTTACCTATTGAAATCTAGTTTTGATTTCTTATCAAATGGCTAAAATTTATGGTAGCATAAGAAATTTGCATACCTGAACCCATTTTACTAAAACTAACTTTTCCCACTGCTTTATTTGATAGATTAGCAAGTGGACCCCCAGATCTAAGATGTTGTTTACTACATCAGAAACTACAGGTAAAGATTTCCCAACGACAGTATCTAAATATGGTCTTAATTTAATTGGAGTTTATTCTAATACTAAATGTAATAATGGATTATAGGCTATTCTCATTGTGCTGCTGTAGGTTACTTGTAGTCACTGTTACTCACAATAGGGTCCAGGGAAGGGGTGGAAAAGGCAAATTAAATATTGAAGAAGTGGATAGATTTTTATTTTACTGTAACTAACTTAAATATAAATGTTATTTCTGTTTTCTTAAGATGTTAAATTGTTGTATTGAAAGAAAGAAGGCTCGTGATGAGGGGAGAAAGACAAATACTTCAGATATGTATCCAGGGGATGCTGGAAGAGCTGGAGACCAGCTGGGGCCAGATAATCTAAAAGATATGGATAAGGAAAAGGGAGAGGTAGGAAAATCTTGGGATTCTTGGAGTGACAGTGAAGAAGAATTTTTTGAATGCCTAAGTGATACTGAAGAATTTAAGGGAAACGGACAAGAGAGTAACAAGAAAGGAGGACCTAAGGAGATGACAAGCTTAAAACCAGAGGGACGATTATATCAGCATGGAAAACTCACACTGCTACATAATGGAGAACCTCTCTACATTCCAGTGACCCAGGTAGGATTCGGACTGGCTCTTTAAGCTTTATTTGTTTTTATTTTGTTGTTTATATCTTCATCCTAGTAGGAAATGTTTGCTTTGGGTAGGAGCAATTCTTTTTTTTTTTTTTTTTAAAGATTTTATTTATTTATTTGAGAGAATGAGAGAGAGCAAGCACATGAGAGGGGGGAGGGTCAGAGGGAGAAGCAGACTCCCTGCCGAGCAGGGAGCCTGATGCGGGACTTGATCCAGGGACTTCAGGATCATGACCTGAGCCGAAGGCAGTCGCTTAACCAACTGAGCCACCCAGGCGCCCTGAGTAGGAGCAATTCTTTAAACAAATCTGTGTTCATAGATCTAAGATTTCAAATCTAAATAAACTTTTGGGGCTTTCAGGTATTATCATTTCTGAAATTGAGAAATATTTTGAAGTTAGGGAAATAAGTAGTTCATCATGGTTAAGGTGATCTGTTACTTCTTAAAATGAGTGGTGGGTACACAGGTGTTTAAGAAACAGAATCCAAATCAGTTGCTTTCTTATACACTAACA